TGGGGGAGGGGGAGGTCAAGGTTCACCAACTCTAGTTCATAGCCGAAAGGCAGATCTTCAGGAGGCTGGACTTCCCCAGAGAGTTCAAATCCTCTTCCTAAACACTTACCCACATCTCAGCTTCACACAGCCTCTTTCCTGCACTCACAGAGGGCAAGTGCCATTCAGTGTACTCCCAATCGGAACCATGCAGCTTACAAGAAGTTGAGTTTGGTCATGTACCTTTCCCTCCATGCTCAGCACTACAGATGGTGAATCACGAATTGCAGCAAATGCCAGTTGTGAGGGCAGCACTTTTTGTCTGGTGGAGACTAGTTTGTAGATACTTATGTTTGATGTTTTTACTGAGTCTTTTAGATATGATTAGCACTTTGGGATCATTTGTCTTATCTGTGTAGTTGTAAAAACTATTTCTTCTTCCTCCTTCTCCTTCTTCCTACTTCCTCTTTCTCTTCTTCTTCCTCTTCCTCCTCTTCTTCCTCTTCCCCTTCTTCCTCCACCTCTTCCTCCTCTTTTTTTTTGGTTTTTGGGCCATACCCAGCAGTGCTCAGGGGTTACTCCTGACTATGCACTCAGGAACCACTCCTAGCAAGCTTGGGGGACCATAGAGTGTCAGAGATAGAACCCAAGTTAGTTGCATACCAGGCGAGTGCCCTATCCACTGTCCTATCTCTCCAGCCCCCAAAGCTATTTCTTCTGACCTGCAATGTCAGGAATTCATCAGTTAGCCTGGTCACACCTACTTGCCCACAGTTTAAAGTTTCCCAGGATATTTCATTTATTATTACAGTAATCATTGGCAAAATGCTGCCCCTGCAGTTTCCTGTCAGGGAAACTCATCAGAAAGAGTCTTTAGTGGGTATTAGCTAAAGAGGAAGCAGTCTCCACTTTTTGTGGTACGAGTTTCCATGCTTACCTCTCCCTGCTTCTGCCTGTTTGGAGATGTTCTCTCTTTGAATACTACAATGCCTCTCCTTGTGACTTCGTACTTTGTATTGAGAAAGCTGGGAGTGGGTTAGACTCTGATTTATGATATTCCAAGTTCCACTTCACCCCTTTTGCTTCTAAGATGCCTTTTTCAATTTCACAAGCCTGTTCGACTTCTTAGTTGCTGGCATTTTTTCAAACAATTCTCAGTTTACTTTTCCAGTAACCAGTAACCAGTTGTGAGGGCAGAATCTTACTGTGTAATTGTGTTCTTCACTCAATCTGTGTTGTAACATACCACTTTTAGATGGTACATTTCTTCTCTGTGGTACCAAATTCTCCTCCCTCCTAAATCCCTGATTCTAGAACCCCCACCCCACCAAAATCCCCTCCCTCTTAAGTCCCCAATTCTAAAACTTGGTTGGGCTTGTGGGGATGTTCCCAACAAGAATGAGGATGAAGATGGGTAGTTGTTTTAGAACTGGAATGCCTACGAAGCCAACCTGCTTTAGATGAAGCTCAAACTGCATGGTCCTATATTAAAGAGTGGTCACAGCTAAAATGAGCTGAGAGTATGCAAAAGTGAGAGTATGCAAGAGTGAGATGCTAAACTCTTTGAGTTTGGGCCAAACCCAGTGATTACTATTAGTGGGCATGGGAGGTCACGTGGGTGCAGGGGAATCGAACACCAGTTGGTTGCCTGCAAGGCAAATGCCCTTCCCACATTCTATGACTCTGGCTCCCGTTTAGTCCTAAGCTTTTGAAAGGTGAGTTAATGTGTCTTCAGAGCACACAGCTGTGGAAGTTGCTGGGGAATGGAGTGTTGGGGCGGGCTGTGAGTGGAAGGGCTTACCATCATTTTGTCAGGGGTAGCAGAGGGGAGCAAAAAAGGGGGCAAAGGCGTGAATAACTGCATGCGCCTGTACAAGAGACAAGACCTTATCTCAAGTCCTACAGAGAAGCCAGGTGCCAGGGCAAACCCTGCTAGTGAAGAGCATTGCCCATGCTTCTCTGGTTTTCATACTTGTTTAAAGGCCTTGTTAGTAGGCCCTCTCCAGCACTCCACGTGGCTCTGCTAGGCCTTTCTGAAACACTTAGTTTGGAATCACTCCTCTTGGCCAGTGCCCCATGTTCCAGTTAACTAGCAAGAGTGCTGTCTACAGGGCAACAGCACTCTTCCTGTGCCTGGAAGCTTCCACAGGCGTCTTGGTTTTGCTTCAGGGTGCACTGTCTTTGAACAATGACAGGAAAAGGCACCCATCACTTTGCAGGAGTGGAAACAGATACTCTGGGAGAAATCACTGCCGTAGGGGAGAGTTTCTGAGAAAGACCAAGTGGGTTCCTGCAAAGCTGGGCCTGGGAAACACAGCTGGGACCTGGTGGTTACCGGTCACTTCTAGCCTGAGAGATATTTGATCCAAAGCTTCTGAGGTCCAGAGCATCTCACAACAAGAGCCCTCTTTCTTGGCCCAGGATTTTTAATTTGGATTTCCTGAACAAGTCTTCCAGGGGTTGGGAAGCTTTGTAGGTGCCCCGGTTTAGACCTTGCTACAGTTGGTCCCCCTGAGTTCTCTTAAGCACTGCAGTGGTGATGTCAAAATTAAAGAACCAAGGCCCCCAAATCGAGATAAATCCTCCACTCACAAACTGCATAGGTTTCTCAGCCCCCATAACCTGGGTCCACCCCTACTTTGCAGTCTTGCCCATACTTAAGCACGAAGCCAAATGGACTTGTGGTCTTACTTGCATCAAGACAGGCAAGTTCCACACAATCTGAAATTTTGCCACAAAGCTAGCATGTATGCTGACCAGCTTTATCTGTGAGCCATTTAAATGCCTTTTCTCTTTTTATTTCAAACCTCTCAGCTCCCCACCCCACAACCCACACCTTTCTCTTATACTTTCCAGATTATTTTCCTTTCCTCTTTTTCCCCCCAGCCAAGTTTTCAGAGGGTATGAACAGGAGTCTTTGATTTGACACCAAAATAGTGAGGGAAATCTTGGAATGATTTTTACCAATTATTAATCCTAGGATCTATACTCAGCTAATGGACTGCCGGACACTCCAGCGATAATTACTTGAGACATCTCAAATGGAAACACTCAGAAAACCCAAATGGCCCTATTAAAGGATGGTCCATGTCTGGGGGGGACATGTTAGGTACCCACTGCGTCGTGCACAGTTTAGTTCTGAATAACTTCTGTTCACACACATACACCCGTCTCACAGACTAGGCCTAGGAGGAAGACAGCCGAAAAGGCTGGCTTGATTTGAAGACCACATCTACTTTAATGAACTCTTGAGAGGTTTCAGAAAAATGTTTTCACCCTTTCTTCCTGCTTGAAATTCGACATCATTAATAATGAAGTCCCAGGGGAAGAGCTAACTCAGTGGCCCCATTCTGCAGGCAGGATATTCGGGTTCACCCCAGCACCACATATTCCCCAGGCATCAAAAGGAGCTATGTAAACAAGCTCTGTGTGGTCCCCCACTGCCACGGACCACTGGAGTGTGGTCACCAAATCAAACTCAAGCATAATGAGGTTCATTGAAAACAGCACCTTCCAGGGCTGATCTAGCACACACTGGGTAGGGCATTTGCTTTGCCAGTGGCCAACCCAGTTTCCATTGCTGGCCTCCCATATGGTTTCCAGGAGTGATCCCTGAGAGCAAAGTCAGGAATAACCCTTTGCTGGGTGTGGCCCAAAAAGTGAAAGAAAGGGAGAGAGGAGGGAGAAAGGAGCTAAGGTGGAAGGGAGGGAGGGAGAGAGGGAGCGAAAGAAAACAGCAACTTCCCATCACAGAGAGAATGAGGGATAAGCTCCTGCATTGCCCATGTCAAACCCTGTTCAGTTCCAGGTACCACATGGTGCCCCCAGCTTCACCATTAGTAACCCCTGGGCATAGAGCCAGGACTAAGGCCTGAGCTGACTCCTATGGTACTGCTCAACCCCCATAAAAAGTCAAAATAAATAAGAAAGAGGGATCAGAGAGATAGTACAGCGAGTTGGGCATTTGTCCTGCACACTGCCTACCTGGGTTGGATCCCCGGCATCCCATATGGTCCCCAGAGCACTGCCAGGAGTAGCCCCTGAGCATCGCCAGGTGTGGCCCCAAACCAAAAATACATTTAAATAAAAAATAAATACAATAAAGCATCTTTCAGTCGTGTGGGAAACACAATCAACCCGTGTTTGCGGGGGGGTAAAACGTTAAAGCATTGTTCCTGAAAAAAATCTTTCCACTTAGGGCAAGAGGTTCAGACTACTTCTCCAGGCCTCACAGCACTTCCGTCTCCCCAATCGCCCCAGCTTGTCTCATTTGGGAAAGCAGCGTGGGTGGGAGCATTTGGGTGGCATACCCCAAAACCACAGTAATTGGAAGCGGGGGCGAGTGGGGGGCAGAAATCAATTAGCGATTCCTCTGCCAGCTACCAATCTGGGTTTCCACCGGACTCCACCTCGTTCTCCAAAGCAGCAGCTAGGGACCCGGCGAAGGAAGGACCCGAAAGCCCGGAAAGCCGGGCACGCCGAGGGCCGCCACCGCACCCTCACGCGGGGAAGCGCGCGCCGGCCGGGCGCCCGGCGCGGCGGCCTCCCAGCGGGAGCGCTCGGCGTTCGCGCGTCCGTGGGAACGCGCGGGGGGCCCGGGCACGCGGGCCGGCCCCGAGGCGGGCGTCCCGCTCTCCCCGCGGTGCCCGCCGCCCGCAGGGGCGGCGCGGCTCCCCGCACCCCTGGCCCGGCGCGGGGGCCCGGCGCAGGGCGGAGACGCGCGCGCGCCCCCCTCGCGACTCGCGTCCCCGCGGTGCGGCCCGGGCGGCGCGCTCACGTGACCCTGACAGGTCCTGCCTCTGGCGCGGCGGGACCACCCACGCCGAGGGCCATGGCACAGCCGCATAGAAGCCGCCTTGTGATCGCGCGTCCGCCGCTCGCCGCCCGCCGCGGCCGCCCCGCGCCGCCTCGCGCTCTCCGCGCCTTTTGTCGCGGCGCCGGGGCCGGAGCAGGGGACGCGGCCGGACCCCCGGGCCGCCGCCGCGGGGGAGACAAAGAGGCCGGCGGCTGGCAGACCGGGAGCCGGGGGCCAGCCCGGGGGGCGAGGGGCTGGCGGGGTCCATGTGAGCCCCGAGCCCACCTCCACGCCAGCGGCTCCGCGCGCTGGGCAGGCTCGACGGCCGGCTATGGTGAGTGCTGCGGCCGCGCGGGTGCGGCGCGTCTCGGGGCCCGGCCGGGGCTGCGACTCGGGGTCCGCGGTTCGGGGGCCTGTCTCCCGCTCCCCGGGCTGGCGCGCTCGGCCTCCGCCCCCCGGGGTGGGGGAGCGCGGGGGTGGGGGCCCGGGATCAGCTCCCGGGGCACTCCCGCAGGGGCTCTCGGGACTCCGTTTTCACGCCTTTGCATCCCCTCGCCCGCCCGTGTGGACGCTGGGCGCCGCGCTAGGGGTGGCAGAACGGACTCGGGCCGGGTGACAGCCCGGGCGGTGCGGACGCCACGCGCCACGCTGGGCGCTGGGAGCACTCCGGGAGGGACTGGTGCCTAGCTGCCACCCCTTCTCCATTCTTTTGCGGCCAGCACGGGGGAGCGAGACCTCCTGGGTGCAGAAACCCCCCTGCCCTCCACCCGCGGCCAAGAGCAAAGCGCCTCCCCAGACCTGGGCCCCGAGACCCCCCTCTGAGTGCAAAGGGGCCGGAAAGGCGTTCCGAGCGCGGGAGGGGCCCGGCACCACACAGGTGTGTGTTCACAGGGGCGGTTGGCGCGGCCCCCAGACGCCCTGGGGTGGGCGAGGGGAGGGCGCCGAAGACCCCTGCAGAGCCTGCCTCCCGGGTGCCCAGCGCTGACTCCAGGAGGGGCGTTCCTGTCAGAAGAGACTGCTCAGTGCAGGGGCAGCGAGGGCGGAGTCCGGGGCCCTCCGAACCCTCTCCTAGGCGCAGTCTGTGGAGATACCCAAGATCTCCAGGTCCCGGGGTTTGGAGAGAAGACCCCTCAGCCCCCGTGCGGGAGCGCTGGAGAAGCGTGGACGACGGAAACCCGAGTCCGCAACTGCTGGCGCTGCGGGATTGGCTCACGGGGGGTCTCTAGCTGCTACAGCCGCTCCCTTGCCGCATTGTTTGTTGTTGTTGTTGTCTACTTTGTTTTTATTTTTTGGCTCCTGTGGTTGACTTGCGATTAATTCCTTCCACAAAGAGAGGTAATGCAGTTGGGTGTCATCTTTTGTTACTTTAACGTATTATTTCTGGGCGGGACCTCCGGATAAATTGTTGCCCCGGTGCCTTGTGTTTCCATGTTGTAAAACAAGGGGCTTTCAATGGTGAGTTTGTGTGTGTTCCACTTGTCACCGGCTTCCTTCCACAAGGCTGCAAAAATGAGACGCAGATCAGTTTATAGTATCAGGTTGGATTTAGGTGGACACTAATAGGCCCCTCCCCCATTGGAGAGTATTAAGAGCATCACTTCAAACGCACTGAAAAGTGCATCAAATTTCTAGTGATAATCTAACAAACCATTTGAACAGGAGTTAATTTGAAATTAGTTTGTGAAAAACTAAAAGCTGTGTTTACAAATAGAAAAACTAATGAAGCAAATCAATATGGATTAAAATATGTTCTTCCCTGTTCTTATCCTAATCTCTCTCTCTCTCTCTCTCTCTCTCTCTCACACACACACACACACACACACACGCACACACACACACCTTTTATTTTCTCCAGTCTCTGCCAGTATATAAAGCCCTATTGAGACATGTAGGCGTGATGTGTAAACCGGATTAGCAGTATGAAAGAAAGACACACAATAAGCTGGAATTGTTTTACTTCCCTTTCATTTCTCATGCCTATATCTCTAATAAATTTGTTGCTCCAGCAGTGGGTCAAAGGGATCATGTTGCTCAGCTTCTTTTTCATGCAAGACCAATGGCAGAGATCACTGCAGTGAATGGCGTGCTTTCTGCCAAGTGTAAAGCCTGATATAGATATATCAGATGGGGAGATGGAAATGAAGCATAGAAGAGATGGAGAAGAAATGGTTCAAAATCTGGGTCTTTTCAGATTCCACCTCTACCATTAGAATAATGTGGCTAAAAAGAGGTTTAGAAGGGAAGAAGTCAACATAAGTGGATGCTAAGTTTTCTTTCAAGTTCATTAGGCTCTGAGTATTTTCTCTGCAGTTGGTGACATTTGCAGCAAGAGAATGCCAATAGCTTTGGCACTGCATAAAGTCCAATTCTGCTTTCAAGCTAGTATTTGAACCCAAAGCAATAAAACTGGAGGTTTCTGGGACCTTCTCAGGACCTCTACGCTCCGCCACTACCTCCATGCCCCCTCCCAAGCTCACTATAAGTTCAAAACATGCCAGTACTGGGGACCACTCATTTACTCTTTTGTAGAATTGGGAGCAGCTTCCCATTAAAGGAGATCAGGGATAATTAGCAGCATTATTTTGACAAGTTGGCTAGAGCTGTTCCCTTTCCTCCAGTCCTTCGGGGTGGGGGTGGGAGTGGATAGGCTGGGAAGGAAACAAGATGAAAGAGGGGTGGGGGTGCTTAGAAAGAGGCGGTCATGCTTCAGAGTTTTACATTCTGAGATACTAAATCTTTCTTCTTCTCCCTCTAACACTGTTTACAGACTCATTTTCTGCCATCACTTTAAAAGTAAATACAAAAGCTGCCAATGAGAAAATAATAAGGCCTTTTTAGGGAGCCAAGAAAATGTGGTGGTTGGTGCCATGCTAGCTAGAACTGAGTTAGGATTCTTATCCAAGGTACCTGCTTGGAACTGCCAAGGATGTGGTCATTCATTCATCCTGTGGGTGGGTGTCCTATTCATCGTAGGTTATTATGTCAATTTCCATCCTCATCCCACCCCAGAAAGGGATAGAATGGGAGTTAGCATAATGTGTGAGCACTTTTACATTCATAGAAGAGAATTAAACTCAGCACACGTGGTCCTAGGGTAAGACTACTAGAATGTCTTTACCTCCCTCTTTATTTATGCTCCACAAAAAATCATTAGTTTTCAAAAAGTGATTTGATTCATGCTGAGTAAATTTCCCTGTGGCTTCTCATTTCTCCCCAAGTCCAGCTCCCACACTTGCTTATCACTGGAATGTCCACAAAGGCAGATGTTTCATTTCAGTGTCATCATTGAATAGCTGGATGCCACATTTGTGATCTGTTATGGTGCGATGATGTGTATTTGAAGTATTAGGGCAGAGAAGGGAGAAGTTACAAGAGACTTGTGCTTTAAGAGTCCTGTTTCGAAAACTACAGGCTCCAAGTGACGGCTTAAATCATGATGGTGAGATCAAAGTGACCATTAAGACACTGAGAAGAGCTTTTCTCGAAAAAGGGAAATTCAGCAGTTGTCCCAAAGTTGTTCCAAATTCAGCAGTTGTTCCAAAAGAGGGCCAGTAACTCCTACTGGTCAAAATGCCTCAAGTTCTCACTTCCTTGGTGACCCTCAGGAGGGGGTTTGGGGGCACGGAGGGTCAAGAGTACTGAGGACACCAGCAAACTTCATCTTTGGTCTGGGGAATCCTTTGGTTCCTTGAAGTTAACAAACCCGGTGTGGTACAGCGGTCCCCTGCACAGGGCATGCATATTAAAGCTGACAATGCTTACAAATGTAAATAAGGGCAGATTGATTAGGAACAACATTATCGCTGGAATGTCCCACTCGCATGCATCAGCAATGAGGCAAATTGGGGGCAGCCTCAGCCCTGGCCACCCAAGTCGACAGGCTTTTACACTGCCTCCTCTTCCCTTTCTTAAAACGTTACAGAAACAAGACCAATTAGATCCTCAAAGTAATTCATCTCTGTGTATGAAAAAAGCAGACCACAGGGGAAGTGGCTGGTGGGGGCGGGGAGATTAAGATTGAGCTTGTTAGAGCCCAGACCTGTGATTGCGTCCTGGTACTGACCAGGAGAATTTACAGGCCTGGTCCATTGTCTGAGATGCTGAAAAGTTAACCTAGCAAGAGGTGGGGGGTGGGGGTGTCTCAGGGCATTGAAAGACCCAGAGATTCATTCCTGAACGTTCAGGAATGAAGTTAGGCGGGGAGAAATGGAGCACCATTGGAAGAAACTTTGCCATCGCATTTGTGCGTCCTTGTGGGGAGTGACGAGGAGCCAGTTAGCCTATGATTTCATTAACAATAACGAACAATTCAAGTAGTTGTAATGAACTTGCTATAGATAAAAGACTGGGGGTGGGGGTGGGTAGCTAATATTTCTTTCCAAAACACTAAAACTGAAAAGACAAACGTAGCATCTTGTCTAAGGTGACCTGGTCATCATAGTACGCCTCAAACTTAAGAGTAAAAGCAAAAACCCAACTCTGGGGACCTCCTCCAGGTCCTAAAAAACTTGCAGAGGCCAGCATGAAAGGATCTGACCAAAACGCTGTTTCTCAAACGCAACCAAGGCCAGGATGTTGCTCACAAATGAAATTTGCTACGTGTGGCGTCCAGCCTCCCCGAGCCCCGACTCCCGCACGCGGCGCGGAGCAGCCTGTCCCGGCGCAGCGCACGGTCACGTGCTCCAACGGAGTTCGGGACTTTGAATTTCCGCGCTGGTCGGGTCGGGTCCCTGCCCGGCCTGGAGCGCCGCAGACACTTGCGCTCTTTGTCTCCGTTCCCCCGACTCCCTCGGCACTGCCGGGCCGCCGGGGACTCGGGGGCGCAGCGCCTCCCCGCGAAGGCTCGAGGGCGCCGGCTGGGCCGGGTGAGAAGGGGCCGGGGAGGAGCGTGTGCGGGACGGCGATGGGCAGGGGAGACGGGGCCGGGGGCAGGCCGCGGCGGAGGGAGCCGCGTGGGCAGCCCGGGTGGCCGGCGCCCGCAGCTGCAGTCCCCGGGCGCGCCGCGGCCGAGTGAATGGGAAGAAGCCGGGCCAGGCCATTGGCCGGCCGCCGGGAGGCCGCGCGCGCATTGGGTGGCGTCAGTGCCCGGACCGCCTCCAGGAATGTCCTACGGCGCGTCGGGCACGTCCGTGTGCGCCGGTCCGGCGCGCCGCGCGCCGGGCTCCTGGGAGGCCGAGCCGCCGACGTGGGGCCCGCGGGGCGCCGGCGGAGCGCGCACCCCGCCTTACCTGCCGCACCTGGATCGCGCGCGGCGGGATGCTCGGCGCGCAGCGCGCCCCCGCGCTTCCCGGCCGCCGAGGGCGCGCGCGCCCGCCAGGCCCGCGTCACGTGGCCGCGGTGCCCCGCCTTCTCCCCTCCTCCCCCTTCCCTCAGTCTGGATTTTTTCTTTTCTTTTCTCTCCTTTTCTCCCCTTTCTGTCCCTTTTCTCCCCTTCCCTCGTTTTCAGTGAACACACACCGCACGCATCTTCAAACCACGTCGCCCCGCTTCACGGCCGCTTCTTGCTGCCAGTCCCTCTTAAGTTCTAGAGGAAAGAAACCAACACTAAAAGGAACAGAATCGGGGATTTGTAGAACTGGTACCTAACGTAGGGAGTAACTCCATAAGCTGCAGAAGTAAAAACAAACTCCACTCTCCAAAAGAGCCTTTTCGAATCCAAAGCGGAGGCGCGTACCGTCTCCGCTCCTGAGGTGCGTCTGAGAGGAGCGTGTTTTCCTCCCCGGCGGGAGCGAGCCCTTGGATGACACCGCTGCAGAGTCCAGATCAGCCCTCGAACCGGTGCCGTTTGTTTAGAATGAATACCGTATATACCCCACGTCACACTTTTATGGAACGTAATAGAAAGCGGATCGGTTTAGAGGTTAAAAAAAAAACCCTCAAAATAGGAAGCCTTGTGTCCTTCTCTAAGATTTAATTTTATTTTCTCCTGGTTATTAAAAATATGTTGTTTCTCTTATATCACATGAAAGATTCAAATAAAAACGTTTCCACGTCCATGAGATTGCTTGTCTGGTGTCTCGAGTATTGACTTTTCACTGCAGGACTATGCGGGGAAGGGGGCTGTGTGTGTGGGGGGGGGGTGGATGGAGAAAGCATTTTTAAAGGGTGGCTTTTTCCAACCTCCCTTACTTTGCTCTTTAACTTTTCAGTTTGTTTATCTTAATGCGGGGCGTTGTTCCCTGCGAGAGCCTAAGACTTCTTTTTAGTTATAAAAGAAAAAAGGAGGAGGAAAAAAAGAATCTGGCACACACTGGCGCAGTATCCATCCACCCTGTCATTATTGGTGCAGGCCTGGGAATTCAAGTCGGACCTCCCAGTATTCGCTGCAGCTTGAGGTGCCTGAAAGGGTTTTCTTTGAGGAATTTCAGAAATTGTTTAAGCGCTTAAAAAAATATATATTACCCCCACCCCACCCCCGGTCTATCAGGAGGGAAATGCGGGCGCGCGCGCACACGTGTGTTTGTGTGAGTGTGGGGGGGGAGGGAGAGAGAGCGAGCGAGCGCAAACGGCGTCTAACAAAAAGAAGACACAGTTAAAAAGAAAAGGAATAAGAAAGAGGGGGGAGAGCATTCCTTAATGGAAGGATTGCATGCGAGAAGGCTGGCGCTCGGAGGCTCCCCCCGCAGCCCGGGACGCACACACTGGGGTTGCCTACCTGGGTGGTCTCTCTACTTTGGTGAGCTGTTGCTAAGCAGCTAATAATAGTCATGTTTGCTGAGTAATTTCTGCCCTCCGCGAGCCAATCGCGTCGCAGAAACCCAAGCCATCTGACAGCCCCGGGGGCGGGCGCTCCAGCCTTTTTCTCTTTCGCTCGCTCTCCCCCGCCACCCCCTCCCCTCCTCCTCTTTCTCCAAATGGAGAGAGTTCTTTTTTTTCTTCTTCCATCTCATCTATTGAATCAAGGAGCTGCTGCGGCCGCTGCCCGCTGCACACACACAGCGCGGAGTGCCCAGGTCCCGGGAGCGAGGGCGGCGCGCGGCGCGGGGGCAGAATGGTCCCGCGAGTCGGCGAGGGACACGAGAACGCCGCGTCCGGGACCGAGCAGCCTCCGCGAGCCCAGCAGCCCCAGCGCCAGCGCCAGCAGCAGCCGCAGCCGCCGCGCGAGCAGCCGCGCCGGGAGCCGCCGCCGCCGCCGCCCGCCGCCGCCGCCGCCGCGCTCGGGCGCCCGCGCCCCTGAGCGCCGCCGCACAGCGTCGGCCCCGCGCTGGCCTTGCGAGGCCGCGGGCGCGAGCCGGCCGGCGCCCGGGGAGCCCGCGGGAGCGGCGCGGCGCGGCGGGCGCCTGCCGCAGTGAAGGGGTCGCGGCGCGGGGCGGGGGGCGCGCGGGGGGAGCCGCGGACTGCGAGCCGCCGAGGGACCGGCTCGTCGGCGCGCCGCGCTCGCGCTCGGCCCAGCTGAATGTGGGCAGCGGCGGCCGCAGAGACCGCGGGAGCCCCGCGCGATGTGGCAATGGGAGGCGCAGGGGCTGACTCTCCGGCCGCGGCCCCGGCCGCGGAGCGCGGCGTGTGAGCGGCGGCGGCGACAGCGCCCGGAGCCCGCGGCCAGCAGCGTCCTCGCCCCTCGAGCGCCCGGGCGCGCGCGGAGCCCGCAGCGCAGGCGGCAGCCCCGGTGCCCGCGGGGCCGGCGGCGGCGGCAACATGGCCTCGGCGGCTAGCGCTGCCCGGCCCCAGGAGCGCGCGGGCGGCGGGCGACGCCGACGGACTGCGGGGGTGCGCCGCGGCGCCGCGCCGGACCCGGACTATCTGCACCGGCCCAGCTACTGCGACGCCGCCTTCGCGCTGGAGCAGATTTCCAAGGTGCATTTCACACTGCTCTCCTCCTCCCGCTCTCCTCCCTCCTCTTCCTCTCCGCGGCCGCCCCGCCACACGCAGCTCTCCAGGAACCGGCGACAAGTGGGCGCTGGAGAATTAAAGCCCTTTCTCTGATCTGGAGGGAACGGGCTGTCGGAGACCCGCAGGGGCTGGAGGACGGGTGTGTGCGCGAGAGTACGAAAGTGTGCGAGCACACGCGCCCTCCACGGCGGCGGGGCGTGTGCGCGGGGCGTGTGGACGCGCCCTCCCCGGCGGGCCCTTCCGGACCCCGGGACAGCGGTCCGCAGAGGACCACCTTGCGGGCGGCCGCGGCGCGGCGCCCGCTGCAGCCCCCTCCTCCCGCGCCCCTGCCCTGGTCTGCAGCACGAACGCTGTAACGCTGCCACATTTCAGAGCTCCTTGGAGGGGAGGCGTAGTGGCGAGAGGCGGAGAGAGGAAGGGGGCCGGAATAAAGGTGGTTTCCTTTTTTGGCACCCGGCTTTGCTTTTGTTAAGCATGAAATCTGTGATCCCTTCAAAGTCGCCCCGAAAGGCGGGCACCTTTTCTCCGATCCCACTTTCGAGACGGTGACCCCCGGGGCCGAGGGGAAAGGGGGAAGGCTGGAAGCAGACTGCCACCTTAAGTCGCCGTGCGGGCTCATTGTGTTTACGAGGCGCGCTGCAATGTGTGGAATCCGGAGCCGGCGCGCACCCAGACCGGGGCCCGCCCGCGCCGCGGCCAGCGCCGGCCCCCGTGACCCCCCGCCGGCGCCCCCGGGGCCGGGCCCTGGGCGGTGGCGTCCTACGCCCTCCCCGCAGGGCCGGCGGGCAGAGGCCCGCGCGGCCGCCCCCCTCGTGCCCACGCGGCGGCGTGGGTCGCGGAGGGCCGCCGCCCGGCCCGCCCGGCACGTGGAGCCCCCGCCGGGGCCGGAGCCGGAGCAGCCGGGCTGGCCTCCGCGCCGGCGGCCGCTGGGCCCCTCCCGCGCCGGGGCCGCTGGCCCGGCCGCCGCCTCCCCGCGCCCCCGCCGCGCCGCGCGGGCCCCGGCGCTCACTGCCCCCTGTGCTTCGTCCCCAGGGGAAGGCCGCTGGCCGGAAAGCGCCGCTGTGGCTGCGGGCGAAGTTTCAGAGACTCTTATTTAAGCTGGGCTGCTACATTCAGAGGAACTGCGGCAAGTTCTTGGTGGTGGGCCTCCTCATCTTCGGGGCCTTCGCCGTGGGGCTGAAGGCGGCCAACCTGGAGACCGACGTGGAGGAGCTGTGGGTGGAAGGTAAGCAGCGCGGCGGGGTCCCTTTTCCGCTGCGCGCGCGCCCTCCCCCACCCACCCACGGCGGGCGCGGGCGCGGGCGGGGGGCGGCGCGGAGCGCAGGGGCCGCCCCTCGCCGGGAGGAGCGTGCGCGCGGGGGCGGGCGGGGGGCGCGGCGCGGCCCTGCGGAGGCGGCCGCGTGTGTGGTCCGGGGTTTGGACGGCTTTCAACTCCCGAGGAAAAAAACATTTGTCTCTAGGTACAAAAGGGGGGTGGGCTGGGGAGAGGCGCCGGGGAAGGCCTGGGCCCGCGGCCTGGAACGCACGTTTGCACAGAGACGGACGTTTGCTCGCGGGGGGCTGGGGGGAGGTCGCGGCCGTGGGGCTGTGCTGGGGGGGGGGCGGGGGCGGCGCTGGGCCCTGGCCTCCCAGCCTCCCAGCCTCTGGTCAAGCCGCTTCTCAGGAGGGGTCCCGGGGGGGCCCCCCGGGGCTTGGGCCGGGCTTTGGCAAGCATTCCTCAGTCTGGGGGTTCTGGACAACTTGTTGAAAAAAAGCTCTTGTGGATTTGAAACAGCTCCCACCCTCTCCACCCCTGACGGAAACGGTTTACATTCTTTTGGTGATTTAACTTTGGGGTGGTTATGTGGGTTCCCCCCTCCCTTTCCCCCCACTTTTTTGCTGCTGGTGGTTTATTATTGATTTCTTTGAAAAGTAACAATCTTACCGCAACATTCCACTAGTGTCTCTTCTGCGGTAGGAAGGAAGAAGCCAGGTAATGATGTAGATGCTTCTACCAAAATATCTGCAGTTTCTCTAGCGAAAACTACCCAAGAAAAACTTGAGAAACCTAAAATTTCTCAGTACTTGCTTCAGTTGCCCGTTGCAGGTGTCCCGGAGTCTAGCTTGGAGAATGTTTTGCCAATGTGCCTGGTTTGTGAAGATTTGGCATGCAGCAGAGCAGTTAGGAATGACTATACACCCCGAGTTCGATTCCCGGCTTCCCTTATGCTCTGAACCCTGCCCCCCAGCTCTGCCTAGAGTGATCTCTGAACAAAGAGTCAGGAATAAGTCCTGAGTACCAGTGGGTGTGCAACCTGCCCCCCCAAGTGACTATTTGAAATAATAGTCCAAATTAAAACCAGAAAACATACTTGTCTTAAGTAGTTTGATACTAATACAAAAATGTTTCTTGGATTGAATCCATGTGGTGATTTACCTCAGCTCAATGCTTCAGTATCATTGTTAGAGTAAAGCATGTGATTCGTGGAGCTGGCAGGGCCTTCCGTGCTGAGCACATCCTGGGCACAGCCAGTCGCCTAGGTGAAGCTTTCAGGTCTTGAATGGGTTTATGCCGAATCTGAGGTCGCAGTTAAAATGGGCTATAAAAGTTCCATGGGAAAACAAGCAGTAGCAACAAGTGTCTGCCCAGCTGGTCGGGCAACATAGCGTCTGGGATGAGAAGTTCTGTCTCAGGAGGAGGCAGGATAGACCAAGGTTGGGGCGCATCAGCGGACAGTATCACCCTGAGGGGGGGCACAGAGGGTCTTCCTCCCGGAGGGCCTAGACTGGTTTGGGGGTGAGAAGTGAGGCCTGCCCAGGCGCTGGGACCTAGTACAGGTTGAGCAGAGAGGGCTCCTGGCTCTGGCCATGCTGGCCGCTGCCCTCCACCTGGGCAAGCAGGTTTGTTTCGGTTCAATAAGGAGGAGGATGACAAAAGATAGTTTTTGGTAATTCTCTTTTGAGCAAGAGTTTTCAGTCGATTTGATAAATTTGAGAAGTATTTATTTTGGTAACAGAGCATGTTTCTAGAAGCAGTGAAATTTCCACATTGCACATTTCCAGGTCTGGAAGAAGTCAGGAGTGACACATGGGGAGTGAACTGTTTGTGCCACTTCTGGCCTCAGAACATTTCTGTTTCCCCATCAGATAGATTCTGGCAGTTTCAGTGTGGCTCATTGGTTCTCTGGCCAAATATTCTTTAACTGTTGAGTAAATAACATGACTATTTATCACAATTTGCAACTCAATAAAGTGGTTATCAACTAGTGTCTATTTTTATTCCGTAAATGTAATAAAAATGTAAATTGTTGCTTATGGAATGTTTTTACATATAATAGCTGAATTATGGTCCTAATTTTCAAATGCGAGGTGATGGCTTTAGATCTTGACTTTACCTATTAATGCTATGAGCCATTTTTTTCTCCCGCTGCTCTACTCCGTGTCAGTAAGAACTTAATATACAGAAAGCTAAAGTTTCACAAACGCCAGTAAATCCAGCCAGGGAAACTACCACACTGAATGTATCATTTAAATTCAGAGTTAGAGATAGCAATGTGGAGGTCTTGGTTGTGATATGATGAGTTTTGTGTTCATGGCAGCAGTAATGAGTGTGGGCATTTGTGTTCAGAAGTTAGAATTCTCTGCAGTAGATATTGAAATCAGAATTCAGGTTCCTCTTGCACTTGAATCTCTTAAGCACCTCGCACCTCATTACAGTGAGCAAAAATGAAAATGTAATATGCATGAGGTGGGGAGGTCCTGTACACAATAAATAAAGAAGTATATTTCCTTAAAGAGCATTAGAGGGGACTGAGGAGAGAGCTCAGAGACTGGGGTGTATGCTGGGTGGTCCAGACACAGGTTGATGCCTGAGCATCTCCAGGTATGTTTCCAAGACTTGTCAGTATCCCATCCCTGGATCCCAGCAGCCCTGAACAGCCAAGCCCAGTTAGCTGAGTATGGTCAAGAGTGTCCACTGAATCCTTTAGACATCAGAAGGAAAACATGAGCTTTCAGGGGGCCAGGGTGGGGCGGGGAGGAGAATGTTGTGGGACAGTTTGGAAAACTGACTTGAGATGGGCTGTCATGCCAGGCCCTCCCAGGCCGCAGGGAAGTGTGCCGAATCACACTTAGGCAGAATATAAACTGCCTGTTTGCAAGGATACCGTTCTCTTTTGGATCCAACCAACAAGTGAAATGAATGTATCTGCTACTTAGGCAGTATTTTTGATTTCTGACTTTTGCACTTTAATCTGCTGGAGAGACCTGCTTGACTTAAAGCTAGTCAGTATACAGATTTACAACAAATTTGTTGTCAGGATTCCTCAGTGATATAAAAATAGTTTGATACTTGTTTTTCTCTTTGAGCCTTTTAGGTTTTTTATTTTGTTTTTCTCAAAGCTTAGCCCCTGGCTTCTGTGACAGCAAAAGTCATTGGCTTTGGTGTGAACCCATACTGCCTTATTACTGACCCATATTTGTGGGCAAGAGATAGTACAGCGGGTAAGGTGCCTGCTGACCCTGGGCTTGATTCCTGGCATCCCATGTCCCCTGAGCACTGTCGGTAGTGATTCCTGAGTGTAGAACCAGGAATTAACCCCTGAGCATTGCCTGATATGCCCCCCTCCCCAAATTAACCAAAAAAAACCCCAAACCATATTGTTTAGTAATTAATGTCCTGAAGACCAGAATCAAAAGAGGAGGACATAAATTGTGGATTTGATTTTGTTTTGTGGGGGATAAGGTTCAGGATTACACCTGGAGGTGCTCAGGAATCACCCCTGGCTGGACTTGGGGACCATATGTGGTGTTGACGTCTGAGCCAGGGTCAGCTGCATGCAAGACAAGTGCCTTAATCTGTGCTATCTCTCTGACCTCTGTGAATTTAATTTTTTAAAAAGTTACATTTTTAAAAAATGCGTGTTTAATGGCATGTGCTTCCAAGTCTGTGCCTTGCTAGCATTATGCCTTTGACATCCTTAACTGGGACTGAGGCAGGTGTGAGAAATCAGTGAGCTTCACCTTTCCGTTTCAGAGCGGGATTTCTCACCGTTAGCACCTTGGCACCAGGCTGGGTTAGTCTTCATCGCGGGGGCTGTCATTGTAGCAGAGGGGCTATTTGGAGGTGTCCCTGGCTTCTGCACGTTAGATGCCACTAGCAGCCTCCCAGTTGGTACCGTCAGAAATGTCAGAAATGCTTCTAGTCTTTGATTCATGTTTGTGTGGGAGAGATTCTCAGGGTCACCCCATTCGAGAGTCTCCAGAGTAGCTCAGCGGTTGTGACGTCAAACCTTGCTTTGCAGAAGAGATGAAAACCGTAAGTCCTCGGAAACAAAGTCTGCTTCTCCATGTTGCTCTTCCACCTTTGCTGATGCAGATGACAAATTTTGTTTCTTGCTAATCATTTAAAACTGGAATTTTGGCATACTAAGAGTGACATTAAATGTCAAGCGCCATGGCAGAAAGAGGGTCACGTGGGTTAGAAATAGAAATTAGAAATAGGCACGGAGGCCATGGAAGAAAGCATAAAGCTTTATATTTGAATCCGCGTTTGTTTTCCACCCTCGGAAGTTTAGTTTTGCAAAGACCTTGCTGCTATCAGGCGCCATCGACTGAGGGTGTCAGCGGGAACGTGCAGACCGCACCTGTGGAGACCCTCAGAGCCCAGCAGCACTTGGTGCTGCTGTCTCTCCTCCGGATTGGTCTTGAAGACTCTCCCCTGGGATCCCTCTCAGCACCCCGTGGGTGGGAGGAGCAGGGCAGGCTGGCCCTGGGGTCTAATCCCACTGGGGTCTGATCCCACTGCACTCTTGACCGCGGAGTGCTGCACACACAACCAGGGCTGCGAACTTTGGGGTTCTTTTCATATTTGGGAAAAGCCCTTGATAGTTGCCGCCCTAGAAATAATGGACAGCCCCAGGCCCCCTCTCTGGGCAGCCCGCCCTGCAGATCCCCAGGCTTCCAGCAGCTACTGCTCTTGGCCCTCCAAGGAGTTCGGGGCCCTGTGGGGGCATGGGGGTGTCTGTGTGTGCCTGGTGCCCCCCGGAGGGTCCCAGTGACGACTTCCAGCTGAGGACCCCCGGGCTCTGCTGGCTGGGCTCCTTCTCCACAGCTGATGGCGAGATTAGTGCTGCCCAGGCCCAGAGAACTGTTTGGCGTGCTCAGGGCCATGTTTATGCTACTCGGGGCTCGCTGTAAGCTGCCCTCTCGGTGACCCTCAGCGCTGCCTGGGGCGGCTGCCCCCCC